AATACCTCAGTCATGATCACTGGGCTAGGCACTGTATAAAAGCAGAGCAAAAAGCCTACTCCAAACACTGTACAATCTAATCCCTTTCCTTTCACTTTCAACACAACCCCAGCTAACACTGCATGTACTGAGATATGTTCTACATGGCCAGGGGCATCAAATTCAGAATCAGCTGGACGGCTGCATTTCCTTCTTTTCAGGTCTCGCTGCTGGGGCAGCAAAGTGGAGGGGAAAGGAGGAGACACCCGGCCCCTGCAGGAACATAGTGATTGTGTGAGAGAGACTGTGACCCCGCAGTGACAGTGAGTGTGTGAGTGACCCCCAAGGAAGGGGGAGAGAGAGAGAGAGAGAGTGAGTATATGTGTGTCTGCCCGCGTGGGACCTCAGGATGCAGGGTTAGCCCTGCTGCTGCAGGAAGCCCTGCTATCATGGCCAGACCAGGACAGAAGTCCATGACCTGGAAGACCCCATTCCAAATGCTTGACACCCCCAATCTAGGCCGAGCAGTAGCATGTCTGTCTTCACTCGTGCCATGCAGCTCCATTTCTTGCCTCTGATGATTTGCACAGGAGAGGTGAGAAAATATGATTGCTGGCTTCAGCCTGCTCTCAATGCTCTTGGGACAGGAAAAGAAGCAAAAAGAAGCAGATAAGTAATAAAATGCTTGGGCAATTTCCCCCAGAGCTGCCTTTGACATCAGCCTTCCAATTTAGGAGATTGGCAAGTGCCCTGGACCTCATTCACTGCTCAGGCCAATGCCAACAGACTGCTGGGTGGCCATCTACCATCCAGGGGGAGATCAACTGGGCTGGGAAGTGGTGGGCAGCAATGGGCGAAGGAGCCTTGGGGAATGAAAAGGGGTCATGGAACAACTCCCAGGCCCATAGGCTCCAAGAGAGGGAAGGGATGCGGGGAAGATCGAGGGGTCAAGGTAATATCCGCATAGTGCTAGAAGGTTGCCAGTGAGCAGACGCTGAGGAAGGGGAAGCAGCACCCCCAGGGCAGTCCTGACTTCCTTGGGAGGAGGTCCCCCCCACAAGTATAATGATACTGAAAGTATCACCATGCCCTTTATAAATCTATGGTGTATCCACACCTTGAATGCTGTGCCCTGTTCTGGCTTATACACCTCAAAAGGGATATAGAAGAACTAGAAGAGGCCCAGAGAATGGCAACAAGGATGATTAGTGGCATGGAGGGGCTTCCTTATGAGGAGAAACTAAAGAAGCTAGGCCTATTTCATTTAGAAAAGAGGTGCTTGAGGGGAGGTGTGATAAGGATTTACAAAATACTAAATGGGGAACAGAAAGTCAATAGGGATTTTACAGACTCTCTCACACAAGATGAGAACTAGGGGTCACAACATGAAGGCAGGCAGGCACTTTAAAATGAACCAGAAGTTATTTTTCATGCAGCAGGTCCCTCAAGGGTGGAAGTCCTTGCCACCAGAGGTGGGGGAAGCTGGGAGTTTAGCCAAATTCAAAAAGGGAGTGGACACATTCTTGGGAGAAAGGGGCATCATCAGCAGCTATCGAGCATGGAAGTGAGGGGCACTGAATCAGAACATCCTAGACCTTAAATCATATTGTATCATAGACAAGTAAGGCTGGAAGGGACCTCAACCAATGATCAAGTTCAACCGGGCAATCCTGCTTTTAACAACTGTGCTAAACAGATGCTGCTGAAGGCTGCAAGGGAGAGAGAAATAGTGGGGCAAAACCCTGGTCAGACCCAGGCCACTCTGCCTTTCAGCACCCACTCAGCCACCGTGTGACCCAAGACTTCTCAAGTCAAGTCAGTCCCAAGGTTGCTGCACCTGTTGGGGCACCTTACGTGCTGTGCATCACTGGTGATTCTTCGGGCGAAGTGACCTAGTGATGCCCATCTCCTCTCCAGGCATGGATGTCCGTTGGCTTGCAGGGAGCTCATCCACCCTTTGACAGGTCTTGTTTGTAGTCCTGCTGGGCATCCACACACCCTCCCCAGCCAGGCTAGCCTAGGTGGGGGTGCTGGTTTAGTCACTGACAACCCGACTGTAGAACTGACTGCTGTGGTTTACATGGTACCAGACAGCCGACCAAGAGAGGTCCAGCCTGACAGAGCCAGGACTTCTGCTTGACTCGAATTTTATGCTGCTCCATGCAAACAGAGCACCAGCACACACCACCCAACAGCTCTCCTCCTGGCTGCAGGAGCACCCTGGCCATACCTGTATCAACTGCTGGGAGTCTAGCTTTTAACACCATCCTTAAAGGCAAAATCCATGTGGTCTTTCTTCAGCAAAAATGATGTGCAGCCCACAACTGTCTGTGCCAGGGCTTTCCCCAGCTGGGCCCTTGGAGACCCTGGACTCATCCCCATCCAGCAGCCTGGCCTTTGTGAAGGCATCACCCGCGTGGAGCAGTGGCACTGGAGCTCGATAGGTGCCCTTCTGGTTTCAGGGAAGGAGGAAGGGTGTCAGGGGATGCAAAGCCCTGCCTGTGGTGGGGGGCTGGGGTTGCCAACTCCAAATCTATTCTGAGAGGTTTCATCACACAGAACAATGACATGAATTACGGTGCATAGACTTGACATCAGCTATAGGCTATAGGCTATAGGCAGTCTTCTATTGAAGACTTAAGGTGGCGGTGAGCAGGGAGCTCCTGCAGGTGGCTGCAGCGGTGTTGGTGGCGCTTCTTTAGGGGGTGCACCTCCAATCTCAGGGGGTGCACACATGTGCACCCCCTACATGTCACCAATGCTAGAAAAGTAAGACTACTGATACAGGCAGTCCTCCAATTTACCACACAGCTGGTCCCTCCAAACTGCATCTTAAGTCGAAACGTTGTAACTCGGAACCAATTTTCTCATAAGAAACAATGTTATAAATGGGGGATTGGTTCCTGAACCAAGGCCCCATATCTTATTTTCACCAAAAATACCCCAGAATTTTGTACTCGGTCAATTATAGATGAGTAATATATCTACATGAATGTATTTATATTGTAAATAGCAATCCTATTGATTTGGGAGGACTTCTTTGAGGTGACTTTGCTGGACTTGTTGAAGGGCTCTCGGCTGGAGTCTTCTCAGGAGTCCTGGGCGCAGGTTTTCTGGACTCTGGTCTGCTTTCTTAAAGGACGTGTCCGAGGAAGCTTGGGCAGACGTTCTCCATGGGCGATGCAGTGAACTTGTTTGCTGGCGTGGCATCGGATCAAGCGTTGTCAAGTCGAAACCCACCAGGGTGTCCACGTATAAACCTCGCAAGCGCGAAACGTGGGGAAGTCGAGGGCCGCTTGTATTAAATTCGGAGTTGCGTGCTTTTGTGGTAGAACCAAGGGGGAAAAAAAGCGGACCCTCAGCAATTTTCAAGTGGTCCGAGGGGGGCACAACAAAGTTGGAGAGCCGCTGCCGGGGGAGGGGGGGCTCTCAGCAGTCTCCACTCCCGGGCAGTGCTGGCGGGCTGGCAACCCGGGGTGCGCGGACGAGGAGAACCGCTGCTGCAAAGGGTCTGGGGCGGGCAGGAGGCTTCCCCGGGGCTTGTGTGGCTGCGGGGGCGCG